CGTATAGAGCGAGCGTCAAACGTTGGGTGACTATAGTCACCGCTCGGGCCGAAAGGGTTAAGGAATTTTTATAGAGATTATCATCCTCTCGGTCCAGCCGATAAAGGCCAGATCCCCGATCCTGCGAAACATGACCACAGGCTTACGGTGTGGGCATGACACGGTACGACCGGTCATGGTAACTAGTCATCCGCCAGCAGTCACCCGGCCGACCCGCCCCAGCTTGCACTCGAGACACAACGGCCACAACATTTTAGCTCGAGAATCACCATCATCATCATCAACTCGAAGTCCACCGGCGTATCGCTTTTCTCCCAGGGAGTCCGGCGACACGCCAGCTTCCATGCATCGACATCTACCAGCGTATTGATTTCCGATGTATTACCGGCGTATCACTTTCTGTTTCTTATTATGATATTGACGTGTTCCCGGTGTATCGCTTTCTGTTTCTATTATTCCAGCGTGTCACCAGCGTACCGCTTTCTATTTCTGTTATTACAACATGCTCCCAGCGTATCGCTTTCGCGACCACCAAACAACACTACTGTTTTCTGACACCTCTTGCAAAATTTTGTTTTATCATCGCTCGCTCACCAGGGACGAGCCCCATCGAAGCGACCGACAACGGATCCGTGCGTCCAAAGCTTCGTAACGTGCGTCCGATCGTCCAGTCGCGGTGCTAGTCCGTCCATAGGGTTGAAAAGCCCTATAGCTAGGGTACGGTGGGGTCGCCACTCCCCAACAGCGTGCACCTCGCTGCCCTACCGGAGGGTGGTTCCGTACAGTGGAATGAAAGTTCAAAGTTCTAGGAATCATCTCCAAAGTCACCAAATTTAATCACGTCGTGGCAGTCTTAGACACGGCGACCGTCGCAAAGGTGCACGATCTAATCGTGCAAATGCCAACAGCGAATCCGTACACAACGCTGAAGACGAAGCTGATAGCCCGGCTCGGAGTAACTAACGAGGTGAGAATGCGACGCCTTCTGGAGTCCGAAGGAATGATGGGTAAAAAGCCGTCGCAGTTCCTGCGACGTCTGCACTGGTACGGGGGAATAATTCAAGAGGACGAGTTACGAACCTTGTGGTACAGTAGATTACCGGCCAATATTCGCGTGATATTGGCTTGCCACAAAGACATGGATTTAAACAAGGTGGCGGAAATAGCCGACGACATGATTGATGCACTGGGTCCATGCATCCAGGTGGCTGAGGCAGCAAACACGCGGAGGACCGAGGCAGCGGTCCCACACACCTGGATGACAGAAGCAGCACCCGCACCAGTGAGGCAAGGACAATCTGCCCGTGACACCCACGACACGCAGAGTAAAATAATATCGCAGCTGTCGCAGCTCTCTTTGGGACAAGAATCGCGAAGGAAGGATATTGTCGTGATCAGAGAAAGAATAATACCTTCCGACCAAGGATAACGTCAGGGCCGACAACGTTCCAGGTCGCGCCAAAGATCATTGGAACGGCAAGGAAAATGTTTCTACCACTGGCGTCGGGGTGTCAACGCGTACCGATGCGAGCCGCCATGTTCCTGAACTGCTCCAGCGAAAAACAGACTGGTCGGTTATTATTATTAATAGCGGCGGATAACGCCAGCCCGAGGCCGCGCCAACTGTTCGTCACGGATTGGAACGCAGTTTTTGGTTGACACAAAGGCCTGCTTCTGTGCCTAGTCGCGGTCGTTAACACGCGGTCCCCGTTGCGTGTCGCAGTACGAACTCTTAGCTGCCAATGGGTCAAAAATAATAACGTGCGAATCGGTCACGTTGACATTAAACTTAAAGTTGCGTCGCGTTTTTACGCGGCGGTTTGTCGTCGCGGATGTCTCTAAACAATGTCAATAATCGGAGTAGACTTTTTGTGTCACTATGGCTTGTTAGTGGATGTTAGAAATCGTGGCTTGCTAGATGAAGTCATATCTTTAGCGGTGTTCAAAGTGCCGGCAAACAACACGACGCAAGCGATCCCAAGTGTTCAGACAGTGACCAGCGGTTTGGTATTCCTCGAACTTTTACAAGGATTTCCGGAGATCATAAAGTCGAGGAGCGTACCGATACCGGTCAAGCGTTCGACGGTCCAGCACCATCAGGACCACAACAGGTCAACGGGACACCTGCACACCACGACGTTTGGCGACGGATCGCCATAACACAGAAAATTAGGTGGGGAGGCCTTGCTCCACCTGGGAGTTACGCAGCTGTCGAAAAGAAGCCTCGCTTCGCCGTTCCTCATTAGTAGTTCCAAAGAAGGAACAGGCCGAATGGAAACCGTGCGGCGACTATCGTGCCCTTAATGCACGGTCCTTGCTGAACAACGTCGCCATCTGGTAAGAATTTATTCTCCACAATTGATCTGGTGCGCTTATATATTCAGATTCCAATCGCAGCCAAACACATTTGCAAAACCACGATCACTATACCTTTTGGACTATTCGAGTTCCGTTCATGTCGTTCGGGTTACGGAACGCGGCACAAATATTTCAACGTTTTATCGTCGTTTAGAATTCGCGTATGCGTATATCGACGATATAATCGTAGCTTTGACATTGGAGAAAGAACATTTAGAATATTTTAGTATTTAAGAGATTGCGATAGAAGGGGATAGGGATAATAGTAGGATAGTCATCAACTTCGCAATGTGTGTTTGCCAAGCCGGAGGTACAATTTTGGCGATATCTAGTGTTCGATAAGGGCACCCAGCCGTTGCACGATAAAGTACGCGTCATTGTGAATTATCCGCAGCCCACGACTGCGAAGCAGATCGGACAGATCCTGGGTAGGCTGAACTCTGAACGGTTCATACCCAGGGCAGCTCAGGTATCAGCGTCTCTAACCGACCTGCTGCGGAACAATTTAACACTAAACGTACCAAGCGGGGTCAAATGACCCTTATCAGAGTTTACTCTATAATTCTATATTTATTGATCTATTTAACACTAAACGTACCAAGCGGGGTCAAATGACCCTTATCAGAGTTTACTCTATAATTCTACATTTATTGATCCTTTTTTCGCTCATCTGATTTTCTGTAAATTCTTATATTATCTGATTGTTTAATTTCTCGTTTTCCGTTTTTTTCTTGACTTATTTTTTAACGAGACAAATTTTTTACATACCTGATATACTACGCAGGGTCATTTCACCCCTTACGAAATTTACGTATTTTTCTGCATTTCTCTAACTGAAACTTTGGTTCTAGACTCAGATACTTCTCACTTCTCAGACTCACTTCTCAAGTTGTAGCTTTATTTACCTGAAAAAGAATATGTGTCTTTGGTTTCGGCGTGAGTACTTGAACGACCCAATCAATTATTGGATAGAATTCGAAACATAAGCGAAGCGAGTTCATACAGGGAAAATTATAATTTTCTGAAAATGAGCGAAGTGAAAGTGGAAATGATTTTCCAGACAGTAAGGAAAGTCAGTATGATTATGGTGTCCGATGATGAAGCCGAAAACACTTTGAATGTCCGTAGAGGACAAAAGCGCTGGAGATTTTTATCTGATTCACGATATTACGTTCGAAACATAAATGCGTCGAAACCAAAAACAATAGAAAGCGAACACACGAAACAGTTATTACAATAAGACAAAATTTGGCGTCGTTATGGTTGATTAAATGACGCGAAAATGTAGCGTTAAAATATAGTGGCCAACGTATTGTCCAGGATCGAGGAGGTGGACCAGGCTATCGACTGAAAAGAACTGGTGACATCGCAAGAAACAGACGAAGAGTGTCAAACGTATTTGCACGAAGAAAAGAATAGTGCTTTACGTTTGACAAAAATCCGCATGTAAATATCCAATATACTGCGACGCATCGATGGGGTCGATAAGACCATTCGTCACGAAACCATTCCATCGTGTCGCAAATGATCTCGTACTGTCTGTCACTTCCCAGCATCAATGCGACAGTGAAATTGATGCCAGACCGATACGTTTGGTCATTGATAAAAACCGATTGTAGACTTTGAGCACGTGCATGCATACCGTGCCAACGTTCTAAAGTAACGATGCTCTTCATTGAGAAAATTTTTGTCTTCAGGAAGGTTCGAGCAGGTCCGTGTCGACATCGTGGTGCTACCGACGTCCGAGGGTCACAGGTACTGCCTCACCTGTGCCGAAGATTCACCCGGTGGCCCGAAGTCATCCCGTTAAAGTCCCAGGAAGTCCCAACCGTGACGCGAGCGTTCTACGAATGATGGATCGCCGCTTCGGAACGCCCTTACGAGTAATCACGAACCCAGGAAGACGTTCCGGCAACCAACATTATGGTGGAGCGGTTCCACTGTCAACTGAAGGTCGCCATCCGTTGTCACCAAGATTCCCAGTGGACAAAGATTCCAACCATCTTGCTGGGCATCCGCTCAGTCCAGGAGAAAAACTTGACAGCGATATCAACAGGTGTACAGCGAAGCACTGCGTCTGATGGGCGAGTTCCTGTCGCTGTGACCTAACCTAACCTAACCATCAGGGAGTCAACTTCGTGAAGGAGCTGCGGCAACATTTCCGGGAAGTTTCACCAGCTTCAGGGCCAACCATGGACAGCGACGAGTCTTCAAGGACTTGGTCGTGACCAAAGAAGATTTTGTCCGGAACGACACCCTTAGAGCAATCCTATATTGCTCTGGATGGACCATCCAGTGTCGTCTCACGCAGTCCGAAGAATTTCGTGCTCGACATCAAGGGCAGAAAAGGCCCTGTCACCATCGACGGGTTATAACCAGCATATACTATCTCGGATGCAGTCGAAGAGGAACCAAGGATCAACTCACGACAGGAGGCACAGTAAGCAGCAACGCAGCCAGCATGCCAACCGACACTGCAGCCAGCACATCTACCAGCGTTGCAGTCAGTATTTCGACCAATATTGCGATCATCATCGCAACAAAGAGTCCGGGCAACAAGACGAGTCACATAAAGCGACCGTCTCCAAATAGCAAGAATAAAATATTTATTGGGATTATGGGTAAAAGAGAAATAACTATCTGTATTTTATAATTATCTTTACTCTATCCTAAGGAAGGTGTATCTCAAGTATTCTGACTGTTCGCGTAGAGAGTCAAAACAAGAGTGAAGAAAAAGGGTATGCGATTGCAACTCGTCCTAGTCCCCTAGTTCTCGCAACTCTTCGGCGCATAGTTTGAAGATATATCTGTATATCGTCAATAGGTCGACTGCAATTGGCGATGGTTAATGACGAACCAAATCTCTTGAGGAACTTGCGTTTTTAGTGGACTGTATATTTTGTAATTGTTCCGGTTAACTCCTCTGAACTCTTCGAATGTTATTTGCTGACTGACTGGCACTGACTCTCTCGGCGGTTATATAATCCTGGTCTCTCTGCTGATTGGTTGCTATGATGTTGGGGGTGTATGTTAACTTCAGCGTCCTTCGGTGGTGGTGGTTGTTTAAACAATCTAGATAATTGTGCTTGTCTTCTTGAAGGGTGATATATAGTTGTTTGTTGCGGATTACCTAAGCGGTGGCTTAGGTGCTAAAGAAATCAAAGGGCGCTGACAGTAAGGATATAAACAACCTTCTACTTGGGACATTGCGGTCCTAGGGCCTCATCAATGGTACTTGAGAACTTTCAGAGCCTTCACACGGTCTATTCTAAACAGAGGGCCGAACGAAATACGAGGATGACATTCCAAGGCTTAACAATATCTATTTCTCCCGAGGGATTGATTTTTGTACATATGTTAAGACAAATCTTATTTTCAACAAGCCTCCTCAAAAATGAATTGAGAAATCTAATAACAATACAAAACATTCATCACTCGAATACTTAACAAAATAATATCTTAGATAGATGTATGCTAAAAAAAAATTGCATATCAGTAATCTTCAATACATACTTAATAACCTGTATTAACTAATTTTGATGTACCTTCCTTATTCTGGGGAATTACAATATGGTCCAACATTCGTTGCTGAGGATCAGGAAAACCCAGAAAAACCTCACCAGATCATTTACGCAATAATAGTTAAATATTGATCAAATAAAAAATAATTATTTTATGTTCATTGCGACTCTCATCTCCACGAACTTCTGCTCTAGAAGTGGTTTAGTCATTGCATCCGCCAGTTGTTTACCTGTAGGGATATTTTTTTAAAGTCATCACTTTATTCTCTACTTGTTCCCTAGTGAAGCGATATTTTATTCGATATGTTTCGACCTCTTACGATTTGTCGAATTGTTTGCAATACTTATACAACCATTGTTATCTTCGTAAATTGTAATAGGTTCAGACATATTTATTTTAATGCTGGTTGCCAAAGATTTCAGCCACAATGCCTCTCCTTTACTCCTTCAAATAAAGCCATATATTCAGCTTCAGTTGACGAAGCTGCCACGAACAATTGCTTTTTCGTATTCCAATTGATTGTACCCTGTTCAAATAATTTAAATATGT